ACACAGAAGGCTGCAGGTTCAGTTCCTTGCTTCTCCAGTTGCTGCCTTCTAGTAAATTAGTCTGTCAATCTGTCAGGTCACAATTGTCTACTCTGACAAGATGAGGCTTGCCAGGATTTTAAGCCAAGGTCTTTTGTATCACCCACTACTTTTTAAAAAAAACTTTCATTGTCTGTTATTAAACATACTATAACAATAACATCAAAATACAGTATTGAAGGCTATTATGCAGGGCTATTTTTGGGCAGGAACGCACAGGAACGGAGTTCCGGCTGGCTCCTGAATTGGCCACGCCCAGCAGGAACTCATTAGCATAACAAGACACACCCAACAGCAGAAACTCATTAGGATTGGCTACAGTATGGGTGTGTGGCCTAACATGCAAAGGAGTTCCTGCTACAAAAAAAGCCCTGGGTTTTGACAACAAACAAGGTAAACAGAATAAGAAGCAAAAGGTGGGTGTGGCTGGATGACCACACTTCTGGTAGCATGGGGGTGTGGCCTAATATGATAATGAGCTGTGTTGTCAGGGGTGTGGCCCAACATGCTAATAAGTTCCTGCTGTTGGGTGTGGCCAATTATGTTAATGAGTTCCTGCTGGGCTTTTTCTACAAAAAAAGCCCTGCTATTAGGTACAAAGTACATAGGAGAGAATATCTCGGCTATTTTAGTTGTCAATGCTGTAAGCAGTGTCGAAGCAAACAAGAGGACTAAGGACAATAACCTTAATTCAGGAGCAATATAACATGGATCTCAAAGCTTACAGATTGAACCTTATATTATTTTCATGCTAAAACTTTCTGAATTAAAAGCGAAAGCTGAATTAATGTAGGTAACAGTTTCTAGCACTGCCTGTTATATTAATCAGAGGAACAATTCATTCAATTAAGAAGTCACTCTAGTATTTATCAATTATGACAACAAATTAATGAATAGGAAAATTAATTATTGATATTGTAGCAATGACAATGAATTATGTAGATATTACTTGATGTTGCTTATGAGAATCAACTAGAGAAATTTATTAGCAATAGTGAATCAAGAATTGTTTTAACAGATAGAATTCATTTTTAAGATGAATGGTCAAGGACTAACAATTAAAACACTATGTATGATACCTATAAAAAGTTATACTACTAAGAGAAAACAACTTGATCCCTTTAACCACAGATGCTGGGGGCTACAAGCAATGCTCCCTCTAAGCCGTGGAGTCTTGTGAGCAACAATTCTACTTTGTGAGCTACTGGCATTAAAGTTGTGAGCGAGCGATTTGGCGACTGCATAAATTAGTTTGCTCTGGAGCCATCCTTCCTGAGCCGAGACAAAAACGTGTGAGCCGGAGGCTCAAAAACTGTGAGCTAGCTCACACTAATTCAGCTTAGAGGGAACACTGGCCATTGCGCCACAGTCCCTCTTTATTTGGCAATTAAAAATATACATGGTATGGGGGGGGGATTAACAAGCAGTAGGGTCAAAAGCTAACTAAGTACAAGAGGCACAGCCTGTGACATTTCTCTGCAAAGCTCAGATGTACGGAAGCAAGTGTCCACAGAAATAACTCATTAGAGCAATACTAAGTGACAGCACAGTCTCACTAGCCTTTAAAAAGTTGATTCTTCTCGCACCATAAATGCTGAAAGTCTAATTTTATGAACCATCACTGGCCAGTCATCTTGCATGCATCTGAGATTTGCACAGAAATGCTGTGGACTGTACCCTTTGCATGTCACTGGCTTTGGACTACACTATATTAGTAAAGGTAAAGGTTTCCCTTGCTCGAAAGCCAGTCGAATCCGACTCTAAGGTTGTGGTGCTCATCTCCATTTCCAAGCCGAAGAGCCAGCGCTGTCCAAAGACATTTCCGTGGTCATGTGGCCGGCATGACTAAACGCCAAGGCACATGGAATGCTGTTACCTTCCCACCGAAGCAGTACCTATTTATCTACTTGCAATTTCTTGCTTTCGAACCGCTAGGTTGGCAGGAGCTGGAACCAGAGATGGGAGCTCACTCCGTCATGCGGCACTCGGGTCTTGAACTGCTGAACTAACGACCTTCCAGCCTGCAGTTCAGCGTCTTAACCATTTTGGGCCACTCACTGCCCAATTCCCATCCACATCTATCTATCTCAACCAAATGACGGTACACTTCATGCATCCGCTCTGCAAAAGCTTCTGCTCCAATAAAGTCTTGAAGATGCCTTCTTATTGTTGCTTTTTCTGCACTGATCATGACATGCCTTTTTTCGGTATGACATCAAACTTCCCCAAGATTGACTTGGCAGTTACAACAGGAGGGGCCAGGGTTCAGTGGTAGCGCATTAGCTATGCATGCAGAAGGTCCCAACACCTGGGACCCCCTGTGAAAAGGATTTAGTAGTAAGTGAAAGATCTCAACCTAAGACTCTTGAGAGATGCTGTCAACCACAGTAGGCAATACTGACCGTGACAGACAAATGGTCTGACTTGGTATAAAGCAAATTCATTGGCTTGTTAGCTCAGGGTTGGGGCTCTGTGGCAGAGCATCTGCTTGACATGTGGAAGGTCCCAGAGATTCAGTCCCCATCATCTCCAGTTAAAGAACCAGGTAACGGGCAATGTGAATGCCACCTAAGGCCCTGGAGAGCTGCTGCCAGTCAGGGTACACAAGACTGACCTTGACAGATCAGGGGTCTAGTCCAGTATAACAAAACTCCATGTATTCAGTTATAAGTTCCATAGCCTCCAAGGAAAATAAAAGATAGTTCCCTTGATCCAGGTGGGAATCTCAAGGCTTTGGTTGTTTTGTTTTTTAAACAAGAGAACTACTAACTTGTGCCTTCACAATCTGCTCCTGTAAGTCCTCGTTCTGCTTTTGGAGATTTGTTAAAGTTTCCTTCAGTTTCTGGTTTTCTTGAAGCAAAGATTTATTTTGCTGTTCAATCTCCTCTACTTCTCCCTGCGGAGGAAAAGAAGTATCATGAAGGGAGACATATCAATAGGAACTCTGCAAAGGCAACTGCTGAAAGAAGATGGTGAGAAGACACCAGCAGCCTCCACAAATCTCACAAGGGGGTGCCTTGAAACACAGGAATCTCCAGAACGGCAGCAAACACAAAAAGACCATGGCCAGGTCAGAAAAGTGGCTGGGGGGGGGGGGGAGGAGAGAACAGGTAGAGTATAAGATGAGTAGGCTGTTATACCCTGTTTTTCTCTACCTTATGGAGTCTCAAAGTGGCTTCCAATCACCTTCCCTTCCTCTCCCCACAACATGCATCTTAGGAGGTAGGTGGGACTGAGAGAGTTCTGAGAGAACTGTGACTGGCCCAAGGTCCCCCAGCAGGCTTCCTGTGGAGGAGTGGGGGAATCCAACCTGGTTTTTCAGATGAGAGTCCGGCACTCTTAACCACTACACCATGCTGGCAGGTGCACAGCACATGCATCCCATGTCCTTGAGCAAGTCACTGTGTGACAAAAGGAGGAATTTAAAAGAGCCCTCCAGAGAGAACATTGGCTTCAAATGTCAAATGCTTGAAATGCCAAATGTCAGATGAATGGGCATTCAGCCTTAAGGACAGGCTTCACCAGGGACTCCTTCTTCAAATGTGCCTGGCTGAAAATATAGTTGCCATTCCCCAGGTCCCAGTGGGGGATCCCCCAGTTTTTGGGGCTTCTGCCCACCACTGGCCAGCTGACCGGCGGGGAAACTCCGCCCCCAAACAGTGACATCGCTGTGTGATGTCCCCGACATGATGCCGTCATGCAGAAGTGATGTCATCACCTCAAGGATGTTGCATGGCAACGCTCTAGTTTCCGGGCAAAACTCTATGGCTTGATGGTGATTTCACCAAGGTTTTGCCCTAAAACCAGAGCATCACTCACACGATGTCCCCGTGATGATGTCACTTCCACGGGATGCCACTGTGTTGCGGAGCCCCATCCCATTCCAGGGAGGCTCTATTCCACCACACCCTGCTGGCGCATCATCGGGACTTACCAGCCCTAGCTTACTTTATTTACTTAATTCATTTGCACCCCACCCTTCTCGCCAACGGGAACCCAGGGCAGCTTACATTGTTCTCCTCTCCTCCATTTTATCCCCACTACCACCCTGTGATGTAGGTTAGGCTGAGAGAGTGTGACTGGCCCAAGGTCACCCAGCAAGCTGCCTCACTTAAGTGGGGAAATGAACTCAGGTCTCCCATATACTAGTCCAACAGTCTTAACCACTGGGCCACATTGGAGGGGGGAACCTGATATCTGACCCTGAGTTCCTTAAGAGGAAGGGTGTGACACAAATGGGACAAACAGCAGGAACTGGACCAGGTTTCACCACAGGTACACAAATCTCTCTTTTGAGAAATGTGTACACCTTTTCCCTCCCTCTGAAAACCAGATGAGTGTAGTGAGCTGTACTGCTCACCTGCAACCAAGATAACCGAGTGTTGTTGAGGGCATCCTGGCCAAGCAGCAATATCAAGGGTCCAGTAACAAAACAGACCAGAAACCAACTAAGTGGGATAATGGGCTGGTAAAGGTTTGCAAACCCCTCACGCACTTCACTAGATTGATTCCCCCTTAAGACCTTATATCCACATGGACCAGGAGGCTCGCAACTATGCACAGGTCTTCCCAATACGTGTAGTCATGTTACATGCACATACAACTTTGGTACAGACGAACAACCTCTGGATCTTCCAGGGTTTGGGTTGGCATATATCGAAGCAGCAAGCACATAAAAAATATGCTTGCTGCCCCTGTTCAGACATGAATGTGGTGCATTGGGAGCACAGTGGGTAGTGGCGGGCGCTTGATACACATGATAGCCAGGCTCCCGGGACGTCGGCATAACACCTGAAAAGGACTTATACGGATCAGGGAACAGGAAAGGAGACAAACCTGCGTAGTAACCACCAGCATGTCATCCTCAGACGCAACATGGAACTGAAAGGGGACGCTGGCTCCACGGACTATCCCATCCTGGTCGACATAGCAGAACTGATAATATTCATCATCCTTTGGCAAGTAGTAAGCTGGAGGTTTTAAAAAGTCAGGTTGTATTTTCAGCCTCTCCAACGTGCAAACGGGGCTGCAGCGTAAACAAGAATGCCACCCACAAAGCCACAGCAAGCAGGACCAACTCTGCAAGCACTGGACTTATCACAGGCCCCTTTACTAATTGGGCTGCAATTGTGTTTCACCCTGGAAATTGATTCTACAATAATTTAGCACTGTTGGAGGAAGCCAGTATGATCAGACAGGATATTCACCAGACTTGTGCTTCCGTATATCTGAATTATGTTAGCTGGAGTTTGTAGTGATAGAATTTGTAATTTGTAGTTATTCCCATACGTTTTGCCAGGGGACTGGTAGCTTGAGGATTTGGCCTAAGATCACACATCTTCTTTCTAGAGAGAGACTTAGAGACTGCTGCATGCAGTGTTTCAGTTGCTGTTTGTATTATTGTTTTTTAAGTCACTCCTCAGTCTAATTGCAATACTTCTGGGTTCACAAATAAAGACAGTTCACAAATAAAGATCCCTGCAACATACTAGGAATTGGCTTATTTGCAGTGCTGCCTTCCTATAAAAGTTCACTCCCTCCCTTCCCCATACAAAGTGCCAGAACAACTGTAACTGAAGGACAATTTTGTCTCGAGTCTCTTCCTGCCACGTACAGATCTGTGCTTAACAGCAGTAGGTCACACTTCTATATAAAGCTGACCAGTGACCAGTGCGCTCTTAGTGTGATGTAACCTCTGAGTGGCTTCAGGTCAGTGAAAAACAATGGCTCAGTAGGAATTTGGAGTTGGGAGTTACCAAGTTGCGGGTGCACAGGTGTGGCCTTTCGGCTGAAAGATCACACAAAATACACAATGGCTACAAGTTGTGTCACCTGTGCAGCAAACCACTGTCTAACCTGAAAAACTGATGTAGGATTTTATACCGCTGTGGGATACTCAGAAACATATAATCCAATTAAAGCATACCAAATTTTGTTTATATCATCAAATGCCTCTGTACTGACGCCTGCCTATTTAATCTGACAGATGGAGGGAATCTGGTACTGTGTTTAAGAGCTTTAGACGCTCTAGAACACAAGAGAATCTATCTCCCCAAGTTCCCTTACTTATTGTGCATGCAAGTAAGCCTTTTTCCTATGTGCCCTACCACGACCCAGTGTTCATCTCACTTCAACAGAACACATTCTTATAGCTGTCGTCCTATAAATGTCGTTTTCCCTCCATTTTAGCCATCTTTGCAGTGGTATTAAAACTGTACTGCTGGAGGGAGCTGGTGCCCAAAGCCAGTTTACATCCTCACTGTTTTGCAGTGATCTACAGTCATCTGGTGCCAGGTTCTTTCAATAATATCTTATATTCTAATAGTCACGTGTGGCCCACTCTGCTGATATCTAAATCTGCAGATTGAGGCCACTCTGACGATAAACAGATAGTTCTGCAAACTTGAGGGATTTCTGTTGGATTTCTGTGGCAGGAGCAGGAAACCATAGTGGCTTACGGCTGGCATCCCTGACTGTGTGGGGATCACTTGATGTGCCCAGTGATGGAAGTACACTCCCCGCAGGTGTCGTGGGTCCCCACTTGTTTATCTAGGTTTCTATATTTATTTATTTTTATTATTATATTTATATCCTGCACCTCCCCACCAAGGCAGGCTCAGGGTGTCTCACAGTATACATATATAAATACATATATTACAACATTGGCATATAGTAAAACACAGGTTACTTAAAATCACAATATATAAACTCATACACGTTCAAACAGATGTCAATAAGAGATGGCGTCATTCTCTTAGCATTTAAAGCGGCCGCCTACCACCACAGTCCGGGCTCCTGCCAGGCTGTTGGTGCTGATGATGGTGCTGATGATGGTGTTGGGGCCAGGGCCAGGATATTAAAGGCGGCGCCGTAATTGAAAGCCTGGTGGAAGAGCTCCATTTTACAGGCCCTGTGGAACTGTAAAGAGTCCCGCAGGGCCCTGATGTCATCCAGGAGCTCATTCCACCAGTAAGGGGCCGCCACAGAGAAGGCCCCAGCCCTCATTGCAGCCAGTCTGGCTTCTTTAGGGCTCGGGAGGACCGGGCGATTTTGGGATCCCGATCTTAGTGCCCTCTGGGGAACATGTGGGGAAAGGCGGTCCCTTAGGTAAGTAGGTCCCTGACCATATATAGGGCTTTAAAGGTAAGAACCACCACCTTCAACCAAATCTAAAGCATTTATTCATATCCACTTTCTTCTCCTGATCACCACTCAGAATGGATTACAAAACATTGGATTCAGATTGAACCATACAAGAAGGCGCTACCAACAACGTCTGGTCTGCTCAGAAGATATTGGGGGTAGTTATCGGTCACTCTCCCAATCCACCCTGAGCACTGTATAAAATTGCTCTAGAAGGCATGCTTTTAGCATGTAATTTTGCGTGTGTGTGTGTGAGAGAGAGAGAGCGCAAGCGCACCTGGAAGTCATGGTGACCTCTGGTGACTGACCTCTACTGGGGGCCTGGAGGATATTCAGAGAGGTGGCTGAATAAAGCCTGCCCCCACCTCCCACCTCTGGTATTTCAAAGAGGTCTCCCATCCAAGTACTTGCCAGAGTTGGCCCTGCTTAGCTTCCAAGATCTGACAAGATTGGGCTTGCCTGGGCTATCCAGGTCCGGGCTCTCGGCGTGTGATTGTGATTGGAAGTGCAAAGTGGCATGCTTGCATCACCCAGGGCCATAACTTACCTTTAAACAAGACTTCTTGATGTTCAGCACTGTCGGGGCTGCTTGGCAACGGCGCCCACATGAACGTATAATACTCACGCGTCGTCTTCCATCCTACCTGCAACAGCAACATTTTTCTGGGTTGGTTAATTGAAAAGCAGGCTGTGAGTGACTCAGGACGAGGGCCCCCACGGTGCCACAGAAAGCCACCCTGTCCATACCTTCAGCCATTCCAGGACAAG